GGGGAGTCTAGGTCAGATCTTGGGAATTCCATCACGCACGGCTCCAAAATTTCTTGAATGGGTCTGGCCCAAACTCTAGAACCTGTAAGAGCAAACAGGGCTTGTGACACCTAAGCTTGCATCGCGAGTCCCCAGAAGGCAGCACGAAAAGGACTCCAAATGAAGTTGCAGTTCTGTTAATTGTATTTTTTAATTACCTTCTGCTTTCACTCCATCCTTCTTCCCGTTCTGGTGGTGGGTTCTTTCTGTGAACGCGGCAGGGGAGCATCCAGGTAGTTCAGGACGTGGCCTGTAAAACGATGGCCAAGGAACAACTCTACCACAAAGAAGTGACTTAATCGGTTTTTCTCTACTTCTGGCCTTTAAAGGTCGGTGTTTGCTGCTGCCTGTGAAGGTCAGGTACATTCTGCTCCTTGAAGATGGACTTTTGTTTGCCCTCGTTACGCTTTGCTTTCACTACTAATTACTACTGTGAATCTGCTTAACCTCTGCTGAAGTGATGGCGTGTTCTTACTGTTCTGGCATCTTTGCTTCTCCTGCCGGATCTCTTCAACCTGAGGAAGCCAGCGGTGGTTTCCCAGACACCAGCCGTGTGACGGAGGAGCCAGAAACGAGGGATTTAACCGGGTGTTGCTCAACTCGGAGAGCAAACAAAATCTCCCGAGTGCAGCGGTTGCTGGCGTACGTCACAGCAGGGAAGTCAAAGCTAAACCAAGCAGGGAAATGAATCTTCTCTTACGTCCTCGCATGCACGTGTCTGAAGTTTCCAAATATACATTAACACAAACCCAGTAAATCTGGCAGCAATCTGCCAGCTCTTTGCACCGGTTGCTGCAAGGGGTAGTCTGAATTCCAGCCCCACTCCTTTTACCAGCTCTAACAGCTTTGACCCCGTAACGTGAATTCTGTTTCACCTCCTAACTAAGCTTTAATAACCTCTGTCACTGAGCACACCGCCTTGAAGGGAGGAGAACGGCGTGAGGGCTGCCGAGAGGCTGCTTTATCCCCGATTGCTCTTGCAAATAATTCCTCCTCTCTGACTAAAGCCAACCAGAAAATTGCAGTTCAGGGTAATGTGCTGTTGGGGATGCAGTAGTTAAACTTTCATTCAAGGCACTGGAAGACACTGTGGAATTTATGCCAGCAGGCAGAAATAAGGGGATTACAGTATAGTTAGGAGTAAAAGACCTATTAGGGTTTTGTGTCGAGTTCACCTTTAGCACAGCCCAGTCCCATATTAATAGTTTATCTTGTTTTCCCCTGTGATATTTTTAAATGTCATAGAACCACAGAATGGTTTGGGTTGGAAGGGACCTTAAAGACCATCCAGTTCCAACCCCCCTGCCATGGGCAGGGACCCCTTCCACTAGACCAGGTTGCTCCAAGCCTCATCCAGCCTGGCCTTGAACACTGCCAGGGATGGGGCATCCACAGCTTCTCTGGGCAACCTGTCCCAGTGCCTCACCACCCTCTCCGGGAAGAACTTCTTCCTGATATCCAATCTAAACCTCCCCACTTACAATTTAACCCCATTACCCCTTGTCCTGTCACTCCCTGCCCTTGTAAAAAGTCTCCCCCAGCTTCCTTGTAGCCCCTTCAGGTACTGGAAAGCTGCAATAAGGTCTCCCTGGAGCCTTCCCTTCTCCAGGCTGAACAAGCCCAACTCTCTCAGCCTGTCCCCATAGCAGAGGTGCTCCAGCCCTCTGAGCATCGCCGTGGCCTCCTCTGGACTCGCTCCAACCAGTCTGTATCCTTCTGATGTTGAGGGCTCCACAGCTGGACGCAGCACTCCAGGTGGGGTCTCACCAGAGCAGAGTACAGGGGCAGAATCCCCTCCCTCGACCTGCTGGCCACAATTCTCTGGATACAGCCCAGGATACGGTTGGCCTTCTGGGCTGCTGTAAGAAACGACTTTAAACACCTCCTGAACAACCTGGCTAACTGATCCATTTCTCCCCAGGAAGATAAACTAAGGGAACCGGGAACACCCCTGAGGCTTTGCCAGTGGCTTGGCACTTACAGGTTTATTTTCTGCCAGAAGAGTGAAGTGAGCTGTCACGGGGGGTGGTGTGGGGGTGTCTGCCCACTGAGTGCCAGGGCCAGGTCAGCGGGTGGGAAGAGGACACGAGGAAAGGAGTTCTCTGTATCGAGGAGCAGCCACTTGTCAGAAGGGGTTTCCTCTCTGAACCTTCCCACGGGACAAGGAGCAGCAGGCAGCACGCGCACCACGAAGCGCCCATGGCCCTCCCCTCGGCGTGCCGGCCTGCACGCAGCCCTGTTCGACCAGCACCCTCAGCTTGTGGACAGATAGAGTTAATCCTGTTACTGCACCGAGTTTTAAATTTACTTCCACAAACACTAAACATGGAAGATAATCTGAGAGAACGTGACCCACCTCACCTCCTTTAAAATGAGCGCCGCGTTTCATTCACAGCTGTCGGGGGAACAGCAGGAGTCAGCTCAGGGGAAAAAAGGGCTAATACAACAATTTAGGGAGACGAATGTTCCTGTTGAGGTAAGCACAGACATTTACAAGGACCATCACTTCAACAGAATGTGAAGCCGATGTTTGAAACAGCCTTTATTCACGCTGCCTGGTGAGCTCCCCAGTCTTACACCGAAACGGCTCGGCTCTGCTTAAGAAAAGACAGGGAAAAGTGCACGTACAAGAGTACTTTTTCTTTAATTTTCTGCGAAAATGGAAGGAATCGGAATCACAAGTTGACACATGTTGTAGAATGAAATTTCAAGAAACAACAAGTTCAGTAATGCTACGCCATCACTAGTGTTTCGTTCCGCCTTTGTCCTGTGAGCCGGAATATCCCGATACACAGTCTAGAGCATCTATGGTATTACTCTACAGCATATTAACACAGGGAAGGGGGTTAAGGGCCCCTTTCAATGTACAAACATGAATAAAAAAATCGATAAAAAAAATCACTTTTATACATAACGCATATGCAAACTGTTTTAAATACATGGTTTCGGAAGAGTTATTTACAAACTGCACCTGTCTGTGGGACAATCCACGGACAAAGCACACAGAGTTGCTTTACTCTCCGGTCGCATCTCAGCCCTGGGAGACGCGAACCCGTTCGGCAGCACAGCCAATGCAAGAACTCGCGACAGAGGACCTGCAGGGTGACGCCGTAAATTCGGTTCCTCACCACAGCGGGAAGTCCTAGGACTGCCAACGTTGCCAAATCAAGCCGGGGGTTAATCCGGACGCCGCCCACGGATCGGCGGTGCGGAGGGCAGGCGGAGAGACCCACCTGGCTGCAGCCGTCTCGGGAGCCGTGACCGGCGAGTCTGGGCCGTCGGAGGAGTGAACTAACCTACCTTTTTTTTTTTTTCCAATTTTATTAATATTTGAAAAAATACATAAAAATACAACATCCAATGTCTGAATAAATATATTTAACAAGTCGCAAGATATTTTATTTTACACAAAAATTTCAGCTTTAGAAATCTTGTTAAATAACTTCGTTGTTATATATTTCATTTTTCGTCTTTTCGTAACAAAATAAAAACTCTGAAATTACATAGAAAAAAGACAAAATATTTTTGTCAAGGGATAAGATAGTCCACTGAAAACCTATTCACAATTCCACTGTAAACATTAATAAACATTAAAATATTTGCATAACTGTGTGCTCAAAAATCCTATAAAAAGTGGAAGACTTATTACAACTGTAGTTTTCAGTCAACTACACTTCGTTTCACAATTTATTTTGTCCCATTTACACCTTTAAAACTGGGCACACTGCTGAACATGTACTTTGGCAGTTCTGTATAGCAAGTGCTTCCACGGAGAGGAACGACTCACTGCGAGTGAGCGCGCAGCTCGGTGAAGGTGCAGCGGTTCGACAGTACTCTGGTGTCTGCTCGGTGCACTCGCATTTCTAAGATCTCCCTAGAACACCTGAATGCTTCACTGGTCATACCTTCTCAGATTTGATAAGTGCCCTTTCTCTGCATGAATGAAAACAAAAAGAAAGCCCAACCAGAACCAAACACGATGACAAGCATGTCACATTGTGCCTACAAACCCTCCCTTACCAACGAGCTCGACTCCTCTGCGCAGTAAATGAAACAAAAGAAGAGGGTAGGAGGGGAGAACGGGTACAGTCCAGCAACGGAAGTGTGTACAGAACGTACTTGGCGATGCCAAACCAGTTGAGTGCTTTCTGTGGTTGAATTTCAGGACTGAAGTCCACGGCAGCGAGCTGCTGGCAGGGCAGAGGAACGTGTATCACCTGCACTCCACAGCAAGCACGTTTTGTGGAGGAGAAGATGACGACGGGCTCATTCCGGTGTCCGATGAAGCAGACGACATGGATGCTCCGGTATGCGACACTGAACAACACACAGAGCAACAGATCAGCATCAGATTACCACAAAGTACATGTCAGAATGAAGGTTTCCATGGTTATTGGGTTTAAAAGACCTCAAAGCGGCAGCCCCAGTCACAGAAAACTGATTTTTCTGTCGACTGCTACACCCACATGAACTGGATGTGGAACCTCACCCTTTCTGCACCACGGAACAAGGAAAAGGATGAATCAGGTAAGTCACGCTGAGCGAAAACTCTGCCCGAGCTCGCGCTTGGGAGTCCAAGTTCCAAACGCAGAGTTAAAAAACAGCCAGCGGGCGGTTTCGTTCAGTTAAAGTTCTGAAAAGTCACAAGAATTCTTTCCAAGGAAACACTCATACGAGCAGCATCAACGGCTGTTAACGCTTCCTTTCACACCCACTGTCAATTAAACTCAAGTCGCCTTGAGTTGCATATTTTTCAAGGAAATTAACTTCTCGTGGGAAGCATAAAGCAAACCTGAAAGTTACCTTCTCTGTCTTTCTTTTTTAACCTCTTTCTTCTCCTGTCTATGGTTGCTACTTCTGACTTCAAGGACATGTAGTATTTTCGTATTTCCTGTAGTTTTTCTTGCAAGAAGGAGATCCTTTCAGTGCTGCTCATATTGTCCAGTTCATCTTAAAAGTGGGAAAAAAAGAAAAACTAGCTTCATCAAGGTGATTTTAAACACATCAACACAATTCTGAAGAGTATACAGACGCAGCATGAAAGAAAACGCACTCCCATAACTATGCCATAAATGGGCAAAAGTAACTCAGATTCCCCCAATTTGCACGTTTTTCTTTCAGAACAAATTTTCTTGTAATCAGGTCACTTAAAGCATTCTTACTGAGCTGAAAACTCCATTTATATACTCGAGGCGAAGCATTCTGGTGGTGGTGTTTGTCCCTGTGCTTATCCTTTTCTCCATCTTTCATGTGAGGCGAAACCACTCTCGCGGGCAATCGAGAAACCTTCTGCAGTTTGGCCGCGTTGATGTGTTTTACAGGAGTACATTTACTTGAACTGTCCAGGGCAGGAAGGTCTTCACTGTCACTGCTTTGTCCTGCAGGAAGAGAAACGTATTCGGACGTAAAAACAACCACGCTCTCGACTTTTTAGAGCTGTAGTTTGAGTCAGGGAAACTGATGAAGCAAAATTGCTCCTTCTTGCCCAGAAGACCCCAGGCTGCACGCAAGGAAGAACCGTTTCAGATCGATGTACAGTCCTGTCGGACACAACACGCGCTGACCCCTCAAGCGCACCGATCATTAAGGTGGGAGGAGTCCAGGCCCGACCGGCCCTGTCGTTAAAAAGCGACAGCCACATTTTTTTTACAGAAGCAATACAGCAGCTTATTAAAATAAGAATATTACAGCACTGATGTTCAATGTATCTGAATATTGTACCTCAGATAAATATCAAACTAAAACGTTAATTAAGTTTATAACAGTGCTGCCACAGGGCCTAAATACACTGACTCATTCACTACAATCATCACCAAAAATAAGCTACAGAAACACAAAATTCCAGATTTCTACAGGAACTCAAAAGTCACATACTTCAGAAAAAAACACACAATATTCCTTTTGCTGAAAAGTCATTTTTTACCATCAAACACGTTTTGATAATTCACAACTGCACTTTTTCCCCCCCGTGAGAAACACCTGTTGTAACATGTTAAAGAGATGCTTCTATTCAGAATAAACTCCCCTCTCTCAATGCCATAACCGACCCAATACAGAAAAATCGGCGTAACGATAAACACTTACTCACTGCTGGCATATGCAGTTATTACAAGTCTTTCCTAATGAAGTAATTAAAAGGAGCCAAGCGATTTCCCTGTATCACTGCTACCACGCAGTCGGTAAATGCTCTCTGGTTAACAGCCAATAATCATGATGACTGATGAAAAACCCTGACAAGGAAGTCCCATCCAAGAGAATTCATAGAATCACAGAATGG